CGCCTTTTTGCAAAAATTTAATCTTTGATTAATGTTAACTTTTGTGAAAAATGGAGATTTCTTTAGTTTGCCATATTTAAACCCGTTTATTTTCTGTATCTTTGAATTGTTGGTTTTGATACATTTATACATTTAGCCAAATCACAACACGTTAATTCTGGATTAATAGAAGTTTTTTTGATCAAAGTTATTATTTTTTGTTGTGTCATAATTGAAGGTCTGCCTCTAGTTTTTGAAATTAACTCTTCATTGTTTTCAATTTTCTTTTTGTTATAAGAAACTCTGTTTGGTGATACATGAAGTGTTTTGGTAATAAAAGAAAATGATTTCCCTTCTCTTAATAAATTAACAATGAGCTTATCTGTTTTATTGATAACAGACATGTAATTATTTTTAAAGATTATAAGTTGAAATATTGCAATTAATTAATATTAATTTGTTTTCAATGTGATTTTTGTTGAAATTAAAAAAAGGTTTTACAAAAGTCAATATTGTTTATTTATGTAAATGTTTTTTATTTCATTAAAATAGTTTGTTTTTGACAAATTTTTAATTGAATTGTTTCAAATCTAAAATAACATGAATTGGGTTTAAATGAAATGCATTTATGATATTTTTTTTATTTGAAACAACTCAAGATTATTTCTTTTGTAAATTTGAGCAACTTTTGTTTGAAAAAAGGTGTATTTTTATTTTTTATGTGTAAATTTAAGCCACTTTTTCCTCAAATTTTTGTTAAATCCAAAAAAGAGGATAAAAGTATAGTAAGATAAAACCCGACATATTACCAAAAAATAAAATAAATACACTATCGATTTTTGAATTCTAGTTTATTTGATTTTGTCTGAAAGGCACAAATTAACATTGACTGGGAGGTTATTGCAATTTAAAAAACATAGTAAAAGCTGGGTTCACGACCAAAAGCAACTATTTGACACTTCTTGTTAATTTGTACAAAAACATTTAAATCGTGAAAACGTTCGAAACGTTTTACGATTTCTTTCAGAAAAAATACTTTAATTTGCATTCTTTGTGTTATAAAGTTTACAGTAAGAAGTTTTATTGTAAGTTGAAATAATGACTAAAATTTAATCATCTTACTTTATTGGCAAAACAATTTTATTTTTGTTTGTTTCAAAAGAATATATAATAAGTACAACAATTATTCAATTTGAATAAAATTGGTATGATTTTGATGTCTAATCATTTTATTGAATTATAACAGAACAACATTGCGTTATAAAAATATGAAAAGTATGACTTTTGAATTAATAATAAGTGTCAAAATCTTCAAATAAATTAAAAATGATACCAAATCATTTATCGATAATTCGTGACATATTTACCCAACTGTTATTTGTATCTTTGAATAATTTGTATTAAAACAATTACGAACAAAGTCCAAAGATTCTTTTGTGCAATAAATCTTCTTTAAATTTGAATAATTAATTGCATGTTGTGCTATCACACATATTTCCTTCCCAATATGAATTTCTTCGACTTGATCACAGTTCATAAAAGCGCATGGTTCGACTTCCTCAACGTGATTTAAATTGATATTTTTAATATTTATACAATCCATAAATAACATATAACTCACTTTTTTCACATATTTGAGGAAATCAATAGCATCTAACATTTCACACCCATAAAATGCTCTTTCTCCAATTTCCTCAAGACTCTCTGGTAATATAATTTCCTTCAATTGTTGGCACCTCCAAAACGCGAAACTTCCAATCTTCTTGACACCTCTAGGAATGACAATTTTTGATAATGAATAACACGCTTGAAATATCGATTGTGGAATACTTTCTAAATTTTCTGGAAGAACAACATTTTCCAACTTTTCACATCCACTGAATAATGTTTTCCCAAGTTTTTTAAGGGACTTTGGCAAAACAACTGTTTTCAAATTTATGCAATTGGAAAATGCAGTTTTACGAATTGCAGTGACATTTTCATGAATAATAATTTCTTCAATATTTTCCGACCCTTCAAACGCGCCACTTAAAACGATTTTTGGTTCCTTTGGAATAACAACTTTTTGAACATCATATTTTTTCATGTCTGATTTATATAGAGCAAAAGACGACTTTGGTGTATCTAACAAATTTTTACAGCCATAAAATGCTTCTTCACTAAAAAGAGTATTTTCCCCATATTACACTTTTCAAGTTGTTCACAATTGAAAAAACAGTGATTTTGTACCTTTTTTATAGTACTTGGTATATTTATTTCTTTCAAACAAATTGCTTTTCCAAAACAATATCTTGGAAGTTTTTTCACGTTTTCGTTGATAACAAGTTTCGACATTTTGACTTTAGAAAAATACGCATTTTCCCCGAGAAAAGTCAATGACTGAGGTAACACACCTTTTTCAAGACCAACTTCAGAAAATGCACTTTCACCAATACTTTTCACTTTATTAAAATACTTTGGAAACTCTTTGAAAAGTGTTTTGCACATACAAAACGCGTTTCTCCCTATTTCCTCGACATTTTTAATGTTTTCAATATGATGAAGTTTTGAGCATTGATTGAAGAGATAATTCGCGATTTTGACTTCATTTTTTGGCATTTTAATGTCAATAAGATTTGTGCAATTTTCAAAACAATGGTCTCCAACGGAATTCACAGAGTCTGAAATCGTCACAAAAACCAAGTTTTTGAGCCCATAAAATGCTTTACTTCCAAGTGTCGATATTCCATCACAAATGACAATTTTAGTGATATTTTCACATTCAAAAAAACACCCAATTGGTATTTCAAAAACACTACCGTCTATAAATAAATCTTGTGGTGTTTGAGTTCCACTGAAAGACTCTGTCCCAAAACTTTTAATATTAACAAGAAGAACTGAAACGTCCAATTTCTCACAACCAGTAAAAACAGAATCTTTAACTGCAGTCACCGTTGTTGGAAGAGTGACTTTAGATAACTTTTCACAGCGAGCAAACATCTCAGATTCAAGAAAATTGATTTTAGAGTCGATCACAATTTCTTCAAGTCGCACACATGACGCAAAGCACGTCTTGCTGATAATTTCCACTGTCGCTGGAATTGTAATTTTTGTGATGCCACAATTAAAAAAGCACTTCTCTCCCAAATTAGATACACTTTGCGGTATTACAACTTCTCGCAACTTTTTGCAGTCTGAAAAGCAAAAGGCTGGAAGTTCTCTCAAGTTTTCGGAAAGAGTAACCGACTTTAAATTGTGATCACATTTGAAACATTTTTCTCCCAACAAAGTAACGGAGTTTGGTAAAGTGACACTTTTAAGTGATTTACATAACTTGAAAACGCCTTGTGAAATTGACTCAACGAAATTTGGGACAACTGCTTGAGTAAATGTGTGTTTTTTAAAGTAATTTTTCGTTAGGGTTTTGGTTCCTTCGGGTATTGAGAATAATGAATAAACTATTGTTGAATCTTCTTCGGTGTATGAAGAGTCTTCATTATTTCCACAACAACAACAACAATCATCTGATTCACAAGAAGAATCACAAGAAGACATATTATTGATGTATTTGAGTTTTTAAAATTTTCTTATTTAACAGATTATGAATTTATATTATATTATATTATTTAATTTATATTTATATTTCAAAATACCTAAAATAATAAACCAAATATAATAAATAGTGTTATTTGAAAAAGAATGGATATAATGGAAATATTTGTCTGTAAATTGATATAGACATTGACATTGTTAGGAATCTTTTAATATCATTCCATTAACTTACGGACACAACATCTCATTGCATATCTTTCGATATCTTCATACGAAAAAGGAATTCTCGAATTGACATTTGCAGTGATAATTTCAATAACTCTTTTACCAAAACTCTCTACTTTTTCAAAAGGAATTGTCGTTTCACCTTTTGTGAAAAACACTTCTCCATATATTCCACGTGTTGTGTGAAACTCCACATATACATCAATACCATCTTCGTAAAGAATGTCTTCTAATATATTAAAAGCTTCAATCCGACGAAGAGAAATTTCTTTCCTTAATGCAGTTTTGAGTTGTTTGTTTTGGTTTAACTCATTTTGAATTTTCCATTTTCCTCTCGCTTCGATAAGTTTTTGAAAATTTATTTCGTCTGAACGGTCACTTTCGACAAATATCGATTTAATTCTTAAAAACGGTATTGAGTCTTCTTTCAAATGTCTTGTTCGTTCAAATCGAAAAGAGTGATGTGTTAAAAGAAGCCCAACCATTACACCAAAAACTTCAGACTCTATATTATCAGGAGACATCAAGCGATGTGGCATTTTCTGTGGCATTTATATTCTTTTGAAGTTTATGAAGAGATTAATTTATAATTTTATTAAAATCATTTCATACAATATTTATATTAATAAATTTTAAATTCTGAATGACTCAACAATAAAAACTCAATATATAAAAAAATTGGGTTTTCCCTTTTCAAGAGTCAGTCTTTTAAGTTATCTGGTGGACAAAAAATAGCTTTAATGTTGTCTAAATATCAGGCATTAGGTAAAACGTGAAAAAACCTGAAACATTTTGGACGGATTCCCGAAATATGACATTATTCATCGTTCAAAAAGTACCAAATAACGTCTAAAGAAGGACTGTAGTTGTTCAGTTGTTGATTTAAAACATGAAGATGACAACGACTGCACCTCTTTTGTTGGTATTTCACCATTAAAGAGTTTGACATCTTCTCGACCAAACACAACATTTGTGCACTTCATGTTCTGTGAAAGACAAATGTGTCTTCGTAAGTCATTAAATCATAAATGACCTTTTTAAAAAGTCTTTGTCAAAATCACTATTCGAGTGGAGATGGTAAGTCTCGATGTTTGGGAACAATTTATTTTCCTTGAGTGGTGTTAAATGTACTAAAGTGGATTAAAGTGGTACATTTCACTCAATAAATTCAATTTTCGACTGACCATCATAACAACTTTGAAATTTTTGACACTTGCAAAGTCTTTTCTAATGATCATCATTGAGTATCAGTTGACTCCTCCCACCTTATATTATTTGGTTTACTTTATTAATACTATTATTATGTTATTCTATATCAACACACATGTAATAGTATAACAATAATTACAAAACTACCAAATTACCGCTTTTTATAATCAAAGAGTGGAAGAGTTGTTGATTCTGAAGCGCTGTCATGACTGCACACATGCGTGTTTGTATACATCAGGCATTGAGACTCAATTAGCGCCAGTGATTCCGTCTACAACTTCTCTCCATAGTGGGCTTACTTCACCGACTTCTTTTCTTCCATTATTCCACTTCGATAAATAGAAGTATGAGTCTTGTGGATATCTTGCAAATCCGTGTTCAAGTTTGGTGTTGAACTTTCTGATGTTATCAAAGTGTTTTTTATTTGATCAGTTACAATGTCACTGAACATCACAGTTGCAGTCGATGTGTCGACGATCACTTTCTGCTTTTGTTGTCCTGTCAAATGACTTGGACGAAGTTTCCTTTCTCTTCATTCCACAACAATTTCTCAAATGAAGTTGATAGGTCCTTCGCTATCTTTCTCAGTAATTCAGCTCTTTTAGTATCTTTATAATACTTCTCTTCCATCATAGCAGCCGCTTACAATCTGTGGTGGCCTGGAATTTGTGTGAATCCATAGTACTGCAGTGGGACACTTAAGGAAGTCAATGCGTCGCTGCTTATATCGAATAGTCTTGCTTAATAATATTCTTTTAATCTCAATACAATAAGAAATTCTCCAATTTCCTAATTCGTTGTTTGATTGTTTTGTCCTTGATTAGTTCAGTTGTTTGATTCATTTGTGTGTAGTAGTAATAATAATACAAAACAACACCAATGGAATCACGTTGCGACTCAACAAACCACAAATATGTCACATCTTACCAGCTGTATGTCGTTGCGAAAAACTCACTGTCTCGAAGCTCCGCTTTGCAAGCCAGTTCAAGAACTTTTCTGTAACTACAAAACTCCGTTTTCGTATTCAAAATATCAATTTTATCGAGGTGGATTGTAATAATTTTGGACAACAGTTTTAAAAGTATATTTATTTTTTGTTTTTTATTTTTTAGTTTAGTTTTTGAAATATTTCAAATGTTAATAACATATAACAATAAATATTATATTTTATTATAATTTAAAACGAGCCAGATTTTTTTGAAAAAAATTTTTCCACTGACTTGTTTTTATAGTACTTTTATATAATATTCTTTAACATTTTATTAATAAAATCAATAATTATTATCATGATTGTTAATTTAAAATAATTTAATTATGATCTATATTAAAACACACCAACAAACAAACTGACTGACAGTTTTTAAGTAAATAAATTACTCATAAATATAGTAAATATATGATTCAATAATAGCTTTGATAAAATAAACAAAAAGATTAAACAACAGAATGAACATAATTGAGTTTTTTTTGTTTCAAACACTCTGTTTATGCATCAATTATGAACAGAGTAGTTTCACTTATTATTCTGCGAATAATAACTCTTCTGTTCTATCAAAGTATTGCATATTTATAAAACAACCTAAATTTATCAACAACACCAAGTATCGTGATTCAATGTTTTGTTATTGTCCATTTTATTACATTTTTCAATAATAATTTGGTATATCTAACCACTATCTGATGTTTGAAAGTGATAAAAAGCAACAATAAATTAAATTTAACAAGTAATCGCAAGGTGACAGCTCTGTTCTGGTTGATTTCACTTAACTATGTTTAGAGAAGTATAGTTAATAACAAATTTTATTTTAATAAATTAAATTATTATTTAATCTTTATTAAACAATTTCTTATATTTTATAATATTATTAATTATATTTAATAGTTTTATTGTGTATAGTATTAATATTATATTAATAAACTACTTATTTTTATACTATACATTTTAATATTTTATAGTTTAAATGTTAACTGTCGTTTTAAGTAGAAAAACGACCGCGGCACAAAGTTTCCATCTGTAAAGAAAATATTTTGGAGTTCGCAAAAACAAACATAACTATGAATTTTACTACAGTGGTATTCACTTTAGATCCTTTACCCGGCATTTTAAATAATTTTTTATGCATTTTAATAAAACTGTTTTCATAATTTTTATTAATTCGGAAATTATGATAAATTGTATAAACACTTTAAATAAAACAAACGGAAAAAGAGAAAAAAAGATTGGAAACAAAATAATTCGAGTTCCACAAATAAATCAAACGGCACGAAAATAAATCAGTCGGAACATTAATAAATATATTCTGCATTTATAATTAATTCACTTATTTTTAAATTATTTCGTCACCAAATCAATTATAGTAAATTTTTATTTAAATAATTATAACAAAACAATAAATAATTGTTTGTTTATTGAACTTAAAATATTTTTAACAAAAAGCCAACAATAAGAAATTATAAATCTTCTCTTGCAAAAGCTCGTCGCCATATTTCATTTCTGCACCGCTGCATTGACGCGTTGATTTCATGTGCTTGAATTTCTTCAAATGATTTTTTTTATTTTTTCAATCATGTCTTGAAGATTTTCCCAATTTCTGATGCTTTCCTCGGTTCTTCGCTTCCAAAAACCGAAAACATTCTCAATAGGATTGAGTTCGGGTGAATATGCTGTATTGAAAACGATACAATGTTGGGTACCGTTAACCATAGCTGAAATATCATTATGAATTGAACAGTTATCACACCAGAATACGACTCGTATCTTTGCTTCATCATAAACCGACACGAGTCTTTTGAAATAACTATTAAATATTTCTTTGTCGTTACTCCCACACACAAGGTTACAGTGACCCATACCACTACTATCAATAGCTGCAGTGGAAGTTAACCTCATTCCCCCTTTCAGTTTAGTTAAAAAACACTTCTTACCCACTGGAGACCATCCATCTACAGAAGTACATGCAATTGTCCAGGCGGTCTCGTCTATGCACACCCAAGTATAACCCGCGTTAATTTTATCATTTAGTTCTTGAATCGCGGTTATACGTCTTGTTTTATTGTCTTCGCTGTTGGCTGCTGCTCCTCTATTTGTTGCTCTTTTGAATGATAGTGTTCCCAAATCTCCAGCATCTCCATTTATGATTTTACCTTTTATCATTCTCAAAAATGAAGCCTCCGAAGGCACTAACTGTTCTGCTTCTTTTACTTTTTCTTTAAACAACTCTGCTGTCTCAAAATTATCTTCGATATTTTTTATTTTTTGAGACAGGTTGTCTAGTATTTCGGTATCCAAAGTTTCAACAACATTGATGTCTTGTATATTACCAACAACAAGCACTTCAACCATTTTGCGTCTCACTTTTGCGATAGAGTCGGTTGGATTATTTTTAAGAGCAGCCCCGACAAGCTTTTGAAAGGGAGTGGTGCGGCTCTTTCTGCAATAATGATTAACGGGGTAATAACTTCCACCTTTAATCAATTTGTTAACAAGATATTTGCAATTGTCTATGGGTATACCAAGATCAAGTGAGAACTGCATCGGGTCAATGGTTGTTGCTGTTCTAAATGCCTTG